AGTCGGGGAGACAATACTTATTGAGATTGTTGGGTTTTGGTGGTGCGAGATTGGAATGCAGCGTCGGTCGTTGGTAGTGGTTTAGGGTGGGTGAGATGTGAGGGGTTAGTGAAGGAGAAGATGAATAGTGTTTATTTATTTTTATTTAATTATTCATAGATTATAATTGTGTTTTTTGTTGAAAAATGTAAAGTTACTATGTTATCATTTTATAATTAGTTAAAATTATGGTCAATGTTAATTCTTTGATCAACTAACAGTTTCCTTCCATTTGGATTTCAGTTGTGACATTTTAAAATGTTTGGTGTCATGAGTTGCACAAATGAAAAGTTTGGATAAAGTCTAACTACTAAATGAAAAGTTTAGTACCGTAACTGCAATTTTCCCTATAAGATAACACAATCTTTAATATCTTGTGGATAGGAAAGGAAAATATTTCCCAATACTGCTCGACCCCTAAGATGAAAACAATTTGCCTTCGCTGTCTTGAAAACATTCCCCACCACTATCGACTCCTTTGCAAAAAGTTAAAACTACAACATTAGGCATACAATAACCAAAAAAAAAACTCTTAACGACTTTAGCCCCTGAGAACAATTATTTCAATATATATATATATATATACTCATTTTCAACTATACATTCAAATAATAAAATATTTTGCTCGTAAATCCAAAATTTCGTTTACTTTTTAATTACATATTCTTCAAAAACTTACTATTCAAAATTCTGTTTTATCCAATTGATGATTGTCAAACAAGACATCTTGTCGAGGGAAAGAGAAACAATAATAAGCAATTGTATTAGTAAATATAAATTAGGAGCTTAAGCTATCTAGCTATATCAATCCTGCTGTACAAACAGGGTCAGGATTTAAAAAAAAAAAAAAAACAGGATTAGGAATTTTAGAATCGGGCTTAGCCCCTGTCTGGGAGGGCTTTTCAGCATCAGCCAATTGATTTTTGTGCCGTTGGTTTGTTACCGTTTCTCTCCAAAAAGCAGCCGCAATTGTGGAAATGCTACCGTTGCTGGGTCCAACGGCTGGAAAATCCCTATGAATCCATATTTTTAGCCACACCAGACAAGCCCTTAGTGTACAGGAAAAAAAAGACAAGCAGCCTACAGAATACACACAATAGATGCGACCCTTTTTTACAATATTTAATTCACATGGGCCCACACCATGTGAGTACATGCAATTGTTCTGTACAAAATTTTACTGTACAAACCGAATTTTCCGGAATTTTATTGTTGTTAAGTGTACCATATTTCGAAATGGGAAGTGCTACATGTACATAATCACATCCCATAATGACTTCGAAAATTGGAACAAAAACATAAAAAATATAATGATAAAAAAATTAAAAAAAGGAAAGCAAAATTGGGGGGTCACGTGGCCTAGGCTACCCAGCGTTCGCCCATGGACTTATTCAAGTTAAAATAAGACATGAAAGAACCCTAATGGTTAAAAGACAAAAAAATTATTCAAGAATTCTTGCAAAATTGCCTTTCACTAATAATAAGTTAAGCTATTATGCAACTACTAACTTTAACTTATCAAAATAAAGATTAGTTCACTTTCACTATAGGATTTATTGAAATCTATAACATACACATAAATTCATAAATTTTGTTTGACTACACTGGAAAATAAAATCCTTTTATTTTTTTAGATTTTATGTCGTCAAAATATTTATTTTTTTATATTTTAGAATATCAATTTTATTTTTTAATTATATTTTTTTGAAATTTCATTTAAATAAAATATAATTAAAAGTTTGTTTTCCATGTTTTAAGTATTATAAAAATTTCACTGGAAACACTAAAAATGTCAAAAATGAATTTTGAGATTCATATTATAAGTTTAACTTTATTTTAAAAAATACATTTCTAGTAATACGAGATCAAACAAGTTTACAACATTTTACAAAATTGAAAACAGCTCGAAAATGGCAAATCAAACGCACTCTTAATTACCGCTATTATCAAAACATTATTCACTGCTGTCAACTTCTCTGTTGAAACCTGGAAAAGTTATATGAAAGATAACAATATGAAAGTAGGAATATAAGATAGGAAAAATTGCAGCCATAGTACCAAACATTTAATTTAGTAGCATACTTTGCACAAACATTATATTTGTGCCACACACGATACCAAACCTTTCAAAATGTTGCAGCTGAAATCCAAATGGAAGGAAACTGTTAGTTTGACCATTAGTTGGCAAAAAATAAAATAAAATTTTGACTAATTTGACCAAATTTAAAAAGGTAAAATGGTAAAATTATATTTTTTCATAAAAACACAATTATAATAATTAAATAAAAAAATTTCACCCCACACCCCAAACTTCATCATCATCATCATTTTCCCCACCCCACCCCACCCCACCAACCTCAACAAGCAGAACCAGTGGTCATCACCACTTCTGATTCAAACATAGACTGATGGGCAATGTACGAGGTCGAATCGAGGTCGTCGACCCGAATGAGAGACTGGTCACGGTTGTGGAGGTTGAGGCGAGAACCAAGAAGGGCATAGGTAGAGTCGGGGAGACAATACTTATTGAGATTGTTGGGTTTTAGTGGTGCGAGATTGGAATGCAGCGTCGGCCATTGGTAGTGGTTTAGGGTTTAGGGTGGGTGAGGTGTGAGGGGTTAGTGAAGAAGAAGATGAATAGTGTTTATTTATTTTTATTTAATTATTCATAGATTATAATTGTGTTTTTTGTTGAAAAATGTAAAGTTACCATGTTATCATTGTATAATTAGTCAAAATTATGGTCAATGTTAATTCTTTGGTCAACTAATAGTTTCCTTCCATTTGGATTTCGGTTGTGACATTTTAAAATGTTTGGTGCCATGAGTTGTACAAATGAAAGGTTTGGATAAAGTCTAACTACTAAATGAAAAGTTTAGTACCGTAACTGCAATTTTCCCTATAAGATAACACAATCTTTAATATCTTGTGGATGGGAAAAGAAAATATTTCCCAATACTACTCGACCCCTAAGATGAAAACAATTGCCTTCGCTGTCTTGAAAACATTCCCCACCACTATCGACTCCTTTGCAAAAAGTTAAAAACTACAACATTAGGCATACAATAACACAAAAAAAAAAACTCTTAACTGCTCGTAAATCCAAAATTTCGTTTACTTTTTAACTACGTATTCTTCAAAAACTTACTATTCAAAAATGCTGTTTTATCCAATTGATGATTGTCAAACAAGACATCTTGTCGAGGGAAAGAGAAACAATAATAAGTAATTGTATTAGTAAATATAAATTAGGAGCTTAAGCTATCTAGCTATATCAATCCTGCTATACAAACAGGGTCAGGATTTAGAAAAAAAAAAAGCAGGATTAGGAATTTTAGAATCGGGCTTAGTGTACAGGAAAAAAAAGACAAGCAGCATACAGAATACACACAATAGATGCGGCCCTTTTTTACAATATTTAATTCACATGGGCCCACACCATGTGAGTACATGCAATTGTTCTGTACAAAAGTTTACTGTACAAACCGAATTTTCCGGAATTTTATTGTTGTTAAGTGTACCATATTTCGAAAAATTCATTACAGGGGGGCCTAGCGATATCAAGTAGTGGACTTATAGGTAGCCGTCAGATATTTAGTGGGCCCCAATAGAAATCTTGGGTGTAAAAAGCAGTGGTGGAGATCGGTTTACTGCAAACGTGGCAGCTCGTCAATGGGACAACGAGGATAAGGTACAATTTCGTATGGATTCTTTTACAGCGTGTTAAGATTATAAACAGTACTCTGTCTGCAGAGGAGTTCCAAGTGCTCTGGACCTCGTTCGAGGAAGTACAACAGAGGAGTCATCAACTGCCCGAAGCTATCTGGGAGTCACGTATCCATTTCACTTGTGTTCCATACTTCCATACAGGTATAACTCAATCAGGCAGCCTCTTCAAGTATACATGTTTTATATATATATCCCTGTAAATGTATCTATCTACGTTTTTTGAGGATGTCTGTTTGAAATTGTCTTTGCTGATGAATATTATATTGATGATAACGTGTTTGATAAAATGCTCGATTGTAAATTCTATCTTCTTTCAGTTCGAGTCCTGGTTACTGGTTACTCCATTAGCTGCAGACGTGCAATCTCCTTTATTTTTATTTTTTTTTCACTTTGAATTGAGCTGTGTTCCAGTTATTAGCATGCATTTGTTTTAGTGAATAAATACTGATTCACCTTATTGATGAAGATATGAATAAATACTGATTCACCATTTCGGAGTCTTGTTGTAACTCGTGTTGGAAATGTTTCATCAGTAGAGATGCTACTATGGGTTCCGCTTTTCCTATGGTACTATAATTCATATTCCGTTCATTAACTCTTTGGTCTATCTAATCTACATTCCCTGAAATTCAAACTCTCCCAAGAAAGCAAAAAGTGGAGTCTTGGTAAGAGCAAGCTGTTCTATTTTATTACCAGTTTTATAAGCCCCGTTTCGTATGGTTTCTGCTTTTGTTCTGCTTCTTGTAGACGAAGCATTCCTATAAAAGCTCTTCTAACAAGACTAAGTACTTCTAAAAAATTATTCGAACATATTTAAAAGAGGCTTATTAATCACAGAAACTGTTTTTGACATTTCAGAAGCCTTGCCTTATGCTGCGTGATGATGGAACTGCTATGTTCTTAATCAGGACTATAAATGAGTTTAGTTTCTGGATTGTCTTTTATGGAAACTTGTTGCTGACCGAATAATGAAGATTTGCTAGGAACTGGTGGAGCACTATTATGTCATCGATTTACTTAAGCTTTACTACCTTGATACACCTTAATTAATGTGGATTACAATTAAATAATTGCATGAACATGTAATTTTGATTAGTTTACGAATGCAATTTGATGCTACTTACTTTCTTATTCAGGAATAGATGGCAACAGTTGCAAACAGCCATCAGTTGTTCTGTAGAGATAATAATTTTTTGATTGAAAAAGGCAATAGACAAATCAAGGAAAGGCACATGTTATTTGATGCCGTCAGTCCACCAATGAAACGAAAAGTTAACAATGAATGTATGCTAGACTCCATGGCGCACGATGCATCCGTTCTTCTCGGGAAACACAAGCTCAAGCACCGTTGTACCTCTTACATTATTCAACGAAAGGGAAAACTATGCACAAGCATAAAATCATTGAGTTCTGCTGAGAAGCATCTGGAATCTTTAGATACTTTTCTCAGAAAAGTGCATAACGATGCCAGGCAGCCTTCTTTGAGTAGTTTGAACAAGATGACAGATTCAGTTACTAGTATTGATAAATTCAAAGCAGAAAATCGTCTCAGATCCCTAGAGGATTATCTTGGCAAAGTTGATGAAGGTAATAGCTCTTGATAGCATGAAATTCTTGCTTCTCACAATAAACTTGGATTCTGATACTTCTTCACTTTTCCTCTTTATTTCCCATTTCAGACGAGACTTCAAGAAATCATATATCATCTGCTTCTGACGGTGAAAATTTACAGGCATCTTCAAATACTTCTTCCAATGGAGACTTTGAAAGTGTCAGAGACAGACCGCTGAATAATTATATGGAGTTGAAACTAGAGGATACTGAGAGGGGTCAGAAGTCTGCAGATAATGTCTCTGATTTTTACTTAGTGTAAATACATTGTCCTTCTCAAAATACATAAATAATGCGCGTATACTGAATTCTCATGCAACCAATTTTTAGCTTACCATATTGGTGGCTTCTAAAATTTTACAGTCTCTTATGCTTCGTTTTGTTTATTGTTGCAGAGGTGTATTGGCTTCTATAAACATAGCAGTCTTTCTAATTGAGATAGCAACTCCAATAAAAAACTCTAACTTCGAGCTGTTTTCACTCCCTTTGGTCTATGGAGCGAAGATAAATAACTTGATTCTGATGGGAGAATGGTGGAGACTAGTGACACCAATTTTTCTGGTACAAGAACAATCACTTGGTTCGTGCTTCAATTCTATCATTAATTTAGAACTTCTGAAATAAAAACTGTTGTGTCAAAAATTAATATTATTAATGGATAATGCAATATGTCCCCACTTCCTCAAGTTATAAGCCAATGAAGGCGTAGAATTAACTTTCTGCAGATGAGCATTGCCATAATTGAAGTTGCAATTGTTTGGAATTAAGGACTGAAGAAAATTACCTGAGAATGAAATATTAGCTAAATGCATCTACAGACGTAACTCTATTTATCTAAGTTTGATTCTAGAAGACATGTGAATACATGTTCACACTCAAATATTATCTTTTGCATGAAGGAATAATTAGTCAGTGTATTTATTATTTGTTTCATTAAGTTGTTTTTTTCACACTTTCTCCTTTTCTGATTTATGTTATATTAGATTTGTTACGTAATGTAGTTTTGTACTTTACCAGTTATAGCCTACATGCACACATTTAACATGTGGCTGTAGCAGTACAAAGGCAGTGGGATTCATTCCTCTTCATATTTAAGATATCCCTAATTTAATTTTTTACTTTTATGAATTTTTATTATTTACAGCACTCAGGAATCTTTCACATAGCCCTTGGTAGCTGGTTTCTCTTCACTTTTGGGCTTGAAGTATCTCGAAAATATGGTTCATTTACATTTTTCTTGATCTATATTCTTGGAGGATTCTCTGGAAACTTGATCAGCTTTCTGCACATACCAGAGCCAACTGTTGGTGGAACGGTATGATGCTGCATGTTACACATATATGATTGTCAATTAATTTCGTAAATCTCGTTTTTTTAATTTCTGTAAATCAAGGCATGCCTAGAGTGCATCGTGACTAACTATTCGTCAAACCAAATAAATAGACATAGATCATTCGTCTCAAATTCTTTCTTTATGATCTTTATGCAATTTATAGCTACTGTTTAATCGGTTAATTCTTGCTTAGGGACCTGCATTTGCTTTAATTGGAGCTTGGCTAATTTATCAAGTTCAGAACAGAGATGTTATTGCAACTGAGGCTTCTGAAAGCATGTTTCAGAAGGCAATTATTTTTACAGCTCTCAGCTTTGTTCTAAGCAACTTTGGTCCAATTGATGACTGGTGAGCAACCAATTATGCAGGTTACTCAGAAAGAATAGAAGTACCATTACAAACTCATAATCTTTTTCATCGAACGGAATTCAATTACGCTCATCATTAGTAGAAAAATTATTAGGTAATCTGATTTTCTCTGAGGTGATGTTCACCGAGTATGGTGCTTGCAGGTCACATTTTGGAGCAGCTTTTACTGGTATAGTTTATGGGTTTTTCACATGCCCAAGTCTGCAAGTGAAAGATGCATCTTCGGATACTGGTCAAGAAGAAAGAATGACACTTGTTAGACGATATGCTGATCCTTGCAAATCACTTATGTACTTCTCCTTCTTTCTTTTGCTGTTAAGTTCTTTACTTCTTATTATTGAACCTCCACTCTATCTGCTATAAATATACTGAAGATGAACAGCATGCTAGGTAACTTTTTTCATTGATACCGTGTAAG